TTTTTTTGTTTAATTAATTGAATTAAAATTTGTTCTAGTGTATTTTTACTAATATGTGTATTTGTATTAAYCATTTTATTAAAAATTAATTATATTCAAAAAGGCTAATTAATCACATATTGTTAATTTTTATTAAGATTACTGCATTGATGTTATCAARATTATTAATCGCGACAATAAGCATGTAATTGTCGTGTATTGATCTGTTATTTTGTACAAGTATCAATATTTCGACATACATAGAATACATACATTATAAATACTTGTATAAAAACACATTTTTAATTGGAAAGAGCTAGTAATTAAATTAAGTTGACAAACATTACTAAACTTCTTTCCTTCAACATAAACTTCGAAGACTGTATTCGCAAATAATTTTCAGCTCATATTCTACTTATTAATTATTTCTAAAAAAAAAAAAAAAAACATAAACAATAACATCATTCAAGTACTCACCCGGTCTAGTTATACGTCCCACATTAAATCTATGCGTGTAATTGACTTTGAAGTAGTTTTCGACAACCGCGCGTTCAGCCTTACCCTCTCCATTGATGGGGGAAAATAAATATTCGGGATCGATTTGATATTTTAACTGTTGGTAGCTGCAAGTAGAGCATGACAATTTAAGACTATTTCCTTGAAGGCCTTTTTTTTGTCTCTGTCAACTTACCCAGTCATGCAGAGCATGGTCAACAGCACTGGTATTATGATAAAATAGCCAGGATGTTTCGCAATTAAAACGCCCAAATGATAGAAAGATTTATTTAACATTTTATCCACCCAGTATATACAGGCACACCGCATCTGTACAAAGAGAAAAAGAAGAGATTGAGATATGATGAGCTAAAGTTGATAAAAATTTTAGTTAAAATATAGTTTAATGTTAATTATAATTATATAGCAATAAGGAATTATATTTTGTACTGTATSCAAGGTTATTGGTGTCTTAACTGCAAATATTTCAAATTTTTAGCTTTCATACTATTTATTGTAACCACAATAGCATTAACTTTTGTCCAAGTAATTTGTAATTGCATGAAATAACTTTGTACACTTTTTTGAATTAGATTTTCATCATTTCAGTTTTCAATTTAATCTGCTATTGTTTACCCTGCCACAAGTGCAACCAAATAATTTTCTCATATAAAGTCTAGATTCCGCATTGAACCAAGCTGCCTAGGCACATTGCGTGCTATTTGGTTGGAAGGTCGTATAGTRCAGGCGCTAAAMGCACAGACTTSAARTCTAMGCTAYGCGCCCTTTAGAGCGTCGTGCACACGCACCGACTGGCGTAACGTGCGTTGCTAGAGGCTTTGTGTCATCAGTGTCGACATTCACTGACTCAAGTGCATGATATTGCTATTTTTGTGATTTATTTTTATAAATGCAATGACGTTAAAAAGTAAATGTTTCCATGTATCTAAGCGTATAGACCCCAGTGTCTAATTGAATGGAGCGGAAAATAGTTCACTCAACTGCTTGAGTTGTTGTTTTTAAATAATGTWAGTTAATAGTAGTGCTCACCTATGAAACATAGTCATAGTGATTGGTAGGTATTGTATACACACTTGTTTTTATTGAATCCCTTTAGGAAAGTTTATGCACTTTATACATATACTCGCCTTTCAAAATCAACCCTAAATTACTATATCAAGTTGAAAACCAGTTTCGAAGCCTTAATATCATAAATTTGTTATGAAATATTCTACCATAATACCATATTTTGTACGTTACTCTGAAAGTTATTACAGCTCGAAGTTGGCTACAGAAATCCCAAGTCAAAAAGTCTCCAAATATCACTGAAGTAAGTATTCCTTAAATTTKTTGGCTTTTTTATGCTAGTAAAGCAAGAACAGAATATCCTAAGTGTCCAACGCAACTCAAAATATACCAATTCATTCATGTATGTGGCAACTCTACCACTCTATGAAAGTACTGGTTATTTAACTGGTTATATCTACTTGCAAAGCAGAACAATTTGTAATTTTGTGAAATTTATTTTTTTTTACGTATTTTAATAATCAATGACTCATTTTGAAAATTTTTGGATTCTCAATTTCGAACCAGCGTTTTTTAAGGCGACGTTTTTAGTGATCATAAAAATTTTTTGATCTGTGTTTGAGCTATAACAATACTAATCTACTGATCATTTGTCGGAATACGTCAGATCGAACAATTATATCAATTACTTAAATCACATACAACCGATTAGTCGGATTTTTTAAACTTCTTCGAAATCGGTTGCTTGAAAACGGTTTTAGACCCATAGTCTCTTAGGCAAATTTGTTCAGAATGATCCTTAGAGAATTTCACTCCTACACCAGTTTAAAGAAAAAATGTTCAAACCCAAACGTTTAGTTAGTATTTTTCTACTGGGCATCATACAAATTTTTTCAGCTTTTGAGCTATAACAACGATATTTAATTCAACACTATTGGGCATTTGTCCGAATCCGTCAAATCGGACAACTATATCACATATCTTCTATACAAACGTTTTTTTTTGTAATTTTTAAACTTCATCTTCGAAATTAGTGGCTTGAAACCAGTTTGAGATTCATAGTCTCTTAGGTAAACTTGTGATCACAGTGATCTTTAGAAAATTTTACACATGCGCGTTTTTAAAGAAAAAAATTTCAATCGCTAACTCTCCCTACTGGGTGTCTCACTTACTTAATTACTTCTACGTTTCTATGCATCCATGCTTCGACTGCGCTTTTAGCTTTGTCTAAGCCTACGTACTTGAACACCCTTTTAAGTCATGAAGGTGCTCATTTTATCGGTCAGCCAAGCATACCAAAAAATTTTCTTTACATYCATCTTATAGAAAGACTCGTGTTTGCTACAATATGAGCACTTTGCATTTTTTATTTCATAATATTTTTTTATCTATGCATGTGTGTAACAAGTATTGCACAAATGCTTTTTAATATATAGCGATTTCATGTACAAATTGAGAGGTTATCAACACGACATATTTATTATTTTTAAGCAATTGCTAGCTAATGGCCGCTTCAAAGCCATTTTGTATCGAGTTGACTGACAACTTTAACCATACTGTTTGCATTTGCTACTTAATAGACTTTATTAAATTGTTGAACATATTTTTAAGTATGTGCATTACCAAATATTTTATTAAAATAGAGGAAATAGAGGGCTGAATGTAGCCTAACTCATTGCTGAACTATTGGCTAATATYTTGAGGTGAGACTTGTATACTTTTTGGGTTTCGCACTGTTTTTTATTAAGCCTTGATTTCAACTCAAAATTAACCAACTATAAAAATAGTTTTTTTTTTTAAATACTGTTTAGAATTTTTTTCTGCGATATCCTCTATCCTATATAGGGCTGCCAACTTCTGTTTACGCCCTCCAATTTCAGTTAGTTTCAAATAAAATCAATTCATTGCATTGAATTTTCTGCTTGYTACCGTTTATGTTTATGTAAATAATGCTGAAAAGAGTTCTGTTAAACTTTCAAATGAAACGCAAATTACTCCAAATGARTTACAGTTAGCTGCTGGCAATTTATTGCAAAGTGATTGTGTAAAATGGACAACTCAAGGTTATCATGCAATTCATGACTTATCGAAGCTCAGTAGTTGTGTTGAATAATAAAAACGAACAGTCAAAAAATCTTTGATATTTTATTTTTATTATTTATCAACTCTTACATATTCAAATAATACACTTATGATTTCTTTAACTCTTTGCTTCCGAGCACTTTGTCATTATAAATATGGCATACGAATGTGCGATTATTGCGAGCAATTAAAAGTTTAATGGACTATTAAGAGAATTAAAAAATATTTGCCGTCAAGATGAATGCCATGCTAACGATTTTCAATTATGGAGAATTTCAGTTTTCTTGAACTTGTGTTAAATTTTAATAAAAAAAAAAAAAATATTTAAAAGCCAAACGTTTGCAATAATAAAGGAAGCTTTCTTACTTAATACGTATTGACTCTGGAATCGATTCAAATTAGAGAGTTTTTTAAATTTCCTGATACCCAAAGCTTTTTGTTGTCTTTAGGTGATACTAAAATATTTACTTTACGGATCTGGGCTTTTTGTCTGGTAAAACCTCTTTAAAAATGCCATTTCGAACATTCTTTTGCACCTATTTTTTGAAAATTATCTCTTTCGATTATTGGCCACGCACACGTCTCCGACGGTTCATTCGTTCGAGCATTTCAAAAATTTAAGTTAAAGTTGAGTATGGGATTTATGTTCCCAGCTCCAAAAATATGGGACACACTGATATTCTCTATTGCTTTGATTGCATTCCTTACAACTCAGATCATTGCAACGCAGAATCTTCTCCTGGCGGTTCCTTTTCGTCAAGCACAGCTGTGAAGGATTTATGGGAAGGACGAAACCCTTGAAGAGGGACTACAGTGAGCTTTTTCACGTATTCATCGAAGTTCAGAGAAGAGTAGGAGGTGAAATATTCTGTCAGGAGGTCTCTATCAACTCTGAGGAGGTCGGATCAGAGGAGGTAGAGATTTTGTCAGGAGTTCGCTATCAACTGTAGTTTAAGACCAGTACACTACTGTGGCGCCTTTCAAGCGTGGGTGGCTTTCATCAATGTATCAGTAGATGCACTGCTCCGAAATACAGATTCGTGAGTGCACAGTCACGAAGACGATGAGCTTGCTAGGAAGATAATCCTTTCCTCAATTGCGTGCGATCGGAAGCGAGTCGGTGACTACGATACTTTTCTGGCCCAGAGTGAACTGTAAGAAGACATCCGAACTACTGGTTCTTAGCAAAGTAAATTTCGCTGCTATTGTAGGTGTTCCGACTGGATATGGTCTAGAAGATTCAAAAACGGAATTCTGTCTGGACATGATTCAAAATATTCACATGCGGTTGTGCTTGATTTTCGAACGCTCTTTGCCAAAGCTGTGTGGAGGAAGGCGAGATGGAATCATATTACTCTTACCACTGCATTCCATTTTGCCGGTTTGAGATTGAAATCTGTTTCTTCGTGGACATACCTGAGATTGATTATAAAAACCTTAACAAATTCGTGGTAAGCACAAACAACTGCTTAGTTGATCTATGAGGATCTGGTGATCCGCTTTTGAAAGTTAATGGGTAACACAAAATACAAATATCTTTCCAAGTGAGATCCATTGGTTTTGAATCAACTCTAACCCTAACCCTAACTTATCCAAAATCTCAAMTTTTTCAATAATTAACTTTTTCCTATTTTTGAATATCTCTCTAAATGCGATCCATTGGTTTTGGATCGAACGTAACCATAACGCTAACCAATCTTATATCTCAACATAACAACTTTTTCTTAATTTCGTACTAAGTGTGTTGGCTCTTGAATCAATATAATTTACTCGGCTATACCAAAAAAGGCTTAGTAATTATTATTTTAATTATTGATCCCTCGATTGCTGAGCACATTTTTTTCATGAACTCATATTTTTTATTTTCTCACATCTTAAATTAATCAAATGGTTTGGAGATTGAATTTTAAGTGTCAAACAAATTTTTCAACTTAAAAAGAAACAATGCAATGATGCTTCAGCTGATTGCCATAGGTAAGACTGAAATGTTTATTATATTACAGGCAGGATAAAATAGTACACAGTTCAAATGTGTATATATRTAATAACTATAACGCTCATTGCAGRAACAASAATAATTAAATAATATAAAATTTTAACATCTTCCTGCAATTTRTATCTTGAAATTATATGACACATACTAAACTATTTTTGCGCCATTTTAATTGTGCCCAACTTATGCAAAAATTATTTGATTTCAAGGTAGATAAGCCGTCAAATCG